GAAAAAGAGAAAACAGGACCATTCACTAAGCGTCTGATTTATCTCCTGTCCCCCGGCCCGCTCCTGTCTCCACCCATGCTCCTCTTGGCCAATAAATCAGCGACTTGTTCCTCTGCCACCTGCAAAGATCAAACCCTCTCACCAGTCCCATAGCTAATTGGAGAGGAGAATCAGCCCATTTCCATCTCTGAGAGCTTAACAAGGTCAAAGGGGTTGTTTGGGCCAGGGCTCCCCACAGTTTTATCTCTCTGAGAACTGCAGGGCTCAGGCTGCCTGTCAGCTGTCCCCTTCCTGGCAGCCTGCAGTCCTTCTCCATGCACGCACACTGGAGCGGAGCCTTGGAGCGGATCCCTGCCACCAGCATGTTTTGTGGAGGAGGCAGATGAGTCTTGCAAGGAAAACACAAGAGAGTGAGGAATTGGGTAGGGAGAACTGCAGGCTGTAGTAGCATAGCAGTATTTGGACCAACCTGGAGCATCCTGTGGCAAGAGTTAATGTGCTGGGGGAGGTTAGTGGCTCAGGAAAGACAGACGGAGCCATGAGCAGGCAGGAGAGCAGCTCTGGTGGGGCTCAAGCAGAGAGCTGAGCATTGCTGCTGCAAGAAGCTTGCACCAGGCCCATCAGTCACGCTGCACAGGCTCCCGTCCACGCTCATGAGCTCCTTGAGGCCTCAGAATGTGCAGCAGCTTGGATGAATGGTAATCAGAGGCTTTCATCACCATCTCAGTGCCAAGGTTCTTGTGAGCATTGGACCAATGCTCCATCCTCAGAATCCTTGCACACCCCGACTGGGAAGGTGGCTCTGCTATGCCACTGTGCTGCAGGAGCTCAGAGATTTGGGGCTGAAGCATCTCCCAGCGCTTGGGCATTCTCAGGTTATCTCGTCCTTCCTCCTTTTTCCAAAACACCCACCAGAGCCATGCAGATTACCAAGGGTCCGATAACAAGAGCTTTCTGCTGCTTTGGGGAGAGAAGGCGAGCTAAATGCATGTGATCTGGGGTACAAGGGTCCCCTCGAGTAGTTTCCATGATGCACCAAGGGAGGCAGAGGAAGGGAGCAAGGTTCTCCTTGCACACGTGTGATGGAGGTGCCAGTGGTACTGAGCGATGCTTCCTTCCTTGCAGGGCACGGCGTACTACGTCCAGGTGTCTGCCTACAACATGAAGGGCTGGGGCCCTCCACAAAGCTCAGTGCCCCCTTTTGCCATCCCCTCAAGTAAGTCGGATGAGGAGGTGCGTGTGGAAGCCTCTGCATCGGGCTGGGGATGGAGTGGGCCTGGAGATGCCAAGGCTCCCTGCTCTGGCACGTCAAGGGCCCGTCGGCCTGGGGACAATGCACAGTGGCCTTTCAGACAGACACATGGATGCTGAAACTCTGGGCGTTGTGAGTGTTCAAGCGGGGCCTTAAGGCTAGGGGGAGAGGCTATGTTTTACCTTCGGGTGATGCTGCCTTCAGCTGATAGGAACTTGGTCAAGCAAAAGTGAACTTTTTACCTTGCAATGTCCCTAGTGAAAGCTGAATGGTTTTAGGCCATGTGGATTAGCCATTCCTGAGAAGGCAGATAGGAGAAATAGAGTATTTTGCATTTTTCAATGAAAAGGAAAACAAATTTCAGCAGTTTCTTTGTGCAAAGGGCAAACACCACTTGGCATTTTAGCACGGGCTTCTAATTTAGCAGGGGGCTGTTCTCAGGAGGAGGGATTTGCTTAGAGGGTCAATGAAATCTGCCCCAGAGTGGCCAAGCTCTGGCAAAATATCACTGTTTGCCAGCGATGTGCCAGGGTGCGCCAGCCGCAGCCTCGGGACACCCTCCTGAGGCCCTCAGAGCTCGGAGCTGTCCTGGCCCCGCAGGTCGGCGGCTCCGGGAGCCCTCCGGCAGCACCGCAGCGTTTGGTTACCCCGCGGAGCTGCGCGTCTTCCCCGGTGCTCGACTGGGATGCGGTTGCCTGCTGGACCGCACGCCGGTTCTCCCTGTGCTGCCAGCGGTCGCCTCCCCGTGCTGGCACCAGGACACGTGGGGGAAGAAAAGAAAGCACCCAATTCCAACTCAAACAAGACAGCCCCAGAGCATTCGGGAAGACAGGCCAAGAGAAATAAATTGGAAAGAGCAGCCTCCAAGGGTGAAGCATAGGCCTGTTGTCTGAGCTGCCTTGATGCAGCGGTGTGGGACAGCAGTTGCTGCTAGCGCGTGCATCACGACTGGGTCAGAGCTGGGGAATGAAGGGTGATACGGGCGGTTGGGTCCCTGCCCCTCATCTCCACCTCCCTGGAGACCTCATAAAACCTCTCACAGCAGGACACAAAAACTATCAGACCAAGCAGCAGGTCCATCTGGTTGGAGGGCTGGATGTGCAGCCATCAGTGTAGTCTTCAACGCAGGAGTTGCAGCACGGGATTGGATGTGCTGCTCCATCCAGACCACAATGGAGCTGTCTGCTAGTATCTAGCTTGCAGCATACAGATCTACAGCTAGAAATAGAAATGGAGATTTCTAGATGTACATCTAGAACTATGTAACTATGTACAGATCAAGATGTACATCTAGAAATAGATAAATGGATATGGGTCTCAATCTGGATGCATACACGCATTATATACAGAAAGAGTACCTAGGTCTGGCTGCAGCTAAATGAGCGTTGTAACACCTATAGGGAAAGCAACACAAATACTTTTACATATGTCTTAATGCATATAAGGAGCCTACACATGGATTCACATTAAGGTGGCTTTATGCTGTCCTGGCAGTGGGTGTCAGCTATGTCTGCACCCACTCTAAAAGTCCCTTTGCTGTCCAGCACAGGTCAAGTTCTCTGTGAGCAATATCCACACAGTGCAGAAATAAGAGGGAAGCCAGAGTGAATCAGACCTGACTGTTGTTTTTTTATTATTTTTATCTGCATTAATATTTCTCCCTCCAGTAAAGAGCCCTCCTTAGCCCAGCAGAATATAGTCAGGCACCTCCCTGGGTGTTTTTAAAGTTCCTAAAAATAGTGGCAAGTCCTAGCCAAAGTTAACAGAGCTGAACTTTCCATGGAAAACAGCAGCAGGCAGGATGGGGGGTGTTTAAAGCAATTAAGGTAAAGCTAATGTAAAAGAGCCCTCAGGCCCCATCTTTAGGCCCTGCTGCCATCTCAAACCTGGGTGGGTCTGGCTAGAGAGCTTATTTATGTATTTATCTAGATGAGTTAAGGTCTCGCTGCTTCCCTGAAGAGAACTTCAGCTCCAGGGAAGACCTGGAGGAAGACACTAGAGAGAACTTTCCTTTTTATAAGACCAGTGAAGAGCAGCAGGGATGGGCATGGCCTTGTTGTTACCATGGTCATCTCCTCCAGCTGGCCACTGTTGGCCAATTCTAGCTTGTGTGTGAGCTACTGCTTCCTATGAGGTGGCTGGTGGCCCGACGGCTGCTGCTTGGATAGGTAGTGATAGGTGCTGATCTTCAGTGCTCAAGAAGAAGAGGACAACCCAACCCACCCCTCTGTAGGGTGCTGTAGACCCCAGGACCCATGGCAGCCTCCATGCTCTACCCTGCTGTGCCTATGGGACACATCAGAGGGGCTGCCAGGAGGTTACATGCCACCTCCTTGGAGGTTTTCTCCTCCAAGCAACCCCGTGGGTTGCAGGCGCTGGAGCTGCAGCGGGCGCAGGGGTGGCCAGGGAGTAGCGCTGGGTTCTCTCCGCAGACTGGCGTGAGTACGACGGCCGGGCGCCGCGGCGAAGGGGACAAGCCGAGGCGCTGGACCAGCTGCTCAGCCAGGTGAAGACCGTCCACCAGCACTGCGTTTGCCACGGTGAGCCTGGGTGCAAGGGCAGCGTGCCGAGCTCCGGGGAGGCTGGCGGCAGCAGCCACCGTGGGGCAGGGTGTGTGCTGGGCTCTGCGGGGCTGGCGCGGACAGAGCACAGAGAGCACACAGCTCCCCTCCTGCAGAAAGGACCAGCCTCACTGGGGGTACTGGCCTCCCTGTGTGTCCAGCCCTGGGAGCTTCCCAGCACAAGAGGCTTCGGTTTGATCATGCCGCTATCACGGCACAAGCAGCCAACGCACACAGGCCTTGTGTGCATCACCCTGTGCTTCATCTCGTGCTCTCCCTTTAGCAGAACCCTGCAAGAACCAGCCACAGAGCCGGAAACACTCGGTCTCCAAGAGCCTCAAACACCTTTTCCACCCTGGCAGCAAGTTCCTCAAGACCCTGAAGCGGTGAGAGGCTGCAGAGCGCGGCTCCCAGCAGGGAGGTAGGGCTGCCCAGCTTGGGCTGTTGCAGGGTGCTCAGAGATGGGTCCCTGCCTGCCCTGAGCCTCTTTGGGGTCGTTGGCTGCTACTCCGAATTGGAGATGTGGACCAGGCTCACTGCTCAGAAGTTCAGTATGTCTCCCCTAATTGCTACAGTCTCACTCTCATTTCCAGTCAGCAGTGCCCAGTCCAGTCTAGGGGCACTCAGTGCCAACAGTCCCTTCCACTATCCCCAAGCGTCATCCCATGCCTTGCCCTTCTCTAGAGTCCAACCACCTCCTTTCTCTGCCTCCAAATCAGATCCGTCAGAGCTGGTCACTGAGACCTGCCATTTAAGTCTGTGCTGCCACGTGCCTGTTTGATACCAGGCACACACTTTTCCTGCCACTCTGCTGCCCATGAGACTGTCAGAGAAGAGTTCAGACCCTCGCTCAGGACCCTGGTTCAGGACATCTCTTGAAAAAGAGCTCTTTGGAATTGAAGCCATTGGCAGCCCTTCACATCTGCCTTTTTTCTCTGTGCAGGGGTCTTTACTTGACTGCTGTCTTCTACAAGGATGACAACATCCTGGTGACCCACGAAGATCAGATCCCTGTTGTGGAGATAGATGACACTTACTCCTGTCTGCTCATGCAGGATTTTCTGTGGTTTACCAAGGTAACTGGCCCAGGGGCCCTGTCATAGGCACTGGAGGCACAGCAGCAGTTGTCACAGCCCATGTCTGTCCTACTTGTCACCACCCCGCACACCAGTGAGACAAGGGCAGAGCACTCTGTGTCCTCCAAACATGTCCTGGTGTGCAGAGCACCTTCCCTGCAATAGCTTATCAGGTGCTTCTGCACCCTTCTTCACTGCAGGCCAGTGCTTGGCCAGCTCATTTCCCCAGCAGGTAGCACAGTGCCCACTGCGGAGCTTTCACCCGGGGCTGGCTGGGTTTCTCCAGGGAGCTCCAGTGCAGTGGGGCTGGGAACAGCTGCACCACGTTAGTGGACACCCTAGGTGGATGAAGTAAGCCCGAGCTACTTCAGTAACTCACACCAGACGACAGAACATCTGGCTGCTCCTGGGCTTCCCCACATTGCCTCTGGGACCTCCTCTGTGCTGCCACGCTCATGTGCACTGCGGAGAGCTTGGTGCATGCACCACCGCAGTCCCCTTGTGCACCGCCGCTGTCCCCTTGTTGGCAGCGCCTCGGTGGCCCGGGTGCTGGCGCTTTGCAGCATGAGCAGCTCGCAGGCTTGCAGCCTGCCAGGGCTCTGCAGGGACGGAGCTACCACTGGGGAAAGATGTCTACAGCCTAGCCCTGTAAGGCCTGAGGTTGGGAGACAGCCACAGACTGTGCTTGCAGAGGCAGATCGGATGCTGCTGGGGACAGGCTGCATGCCACTGCATGCATGTGTGTGCTGATGCACTGTCTCTCTGCAGAGACACTGGGCAGCCTCTTATTTAACTGTTTCACCACAGCTTTTTGTTGCAGTAGCTGTTTTTTTCTGAAAGGAGCAGGACATACATGCTGTTGGGTCATCTTTAATTTTTACTAGACTTAAAAAAGGCAGGAGTGGGAGCTCAGACCCAAAATGAGCTCCTGCTGGATGATTTTTCCCTACTGCGGGGGAAGCCTCCTCTTGACTCTCTTCTGTTTAGACTTGAAAGGGTCTCTCTCCTAGATAAAGTCAGATATCTAGGTGGGCACTGGCCGGCTCTTCCTTTGGTACAGACTCTGGGGACACCTCTGAGCTAACCGGATGTGTGCAGCCTGAGAAATGGCACTGCTCCTGTTGAAAGGTGCTATGCACTGGTGCATGTTCCCAATGCGGTTCCCATGGAAAGGAAAACAGATTTCCCCAAAGTGCGTCTGTGTGAGCCAGCTCACAGCCCTGGGTGTTGGTGACGGCCTGTTTGGTGCGCTGCAGGTGTCGTGCATGTGGGACGAGGTCCTGTGGCTGCGGCAGTGTGTCACCGTTTCCCAGTCGTCCTGTTCCTGCATCCTGCAAACGCGCTTCAAGATGCTGCTGGCCGCCTCGCAAATGCAGGTGAGGAGAGGTGCAGGGGAGCACGAAAGGGAGAGCGCAGCCTTTCCCATCCCACACCGCCCAGCATAACTCGCACCAGCTGTGGAGGTTTAGAAATGCCTTTGTAGGTGCCACAGTGAGCAGGGATCCCTTTGTAGCCACACGTGGACACTCCACGTGTGGGCAGATCCTCAGCTTCTGCCAGCTCTAGTTGCCAGAGCAGAAAGACACAGATGCCTATTCTCCCTGGCCAAAGGGGTGGGTAGGTGAGCAGCAATACTGACCACCTTTGCCTTGTCTTCATTGACATGTCTCCGGTCACAGGGATAACTAGATATCAGGCTTAGGGAAAACCTGCTGCAGAGGGAAATGCAATTTCCAGTGTTGTGCTATGTCAGGAGGGGCTGATTTCCAGCAGACAGAGAGATGAGACCACTGTCCTGTCCCGTCCCCACCTGCTCAGATCTTGCAGAACGCAACTACTCGACAACATCCCCTGACCTGTCACTTTTCTTTCTGCTCTTTCTCCGACTCTTTACCCAAAGGGGCTGCTGGGAATCCAGGACCTGGGACAGGTCTTCTTTGAGCCCATCAAAGACAAGCAGGGCAACATCCTCATCGTGACCCTGAAGGAGGTGAAAACCAACCAGACCTTTGAGAGCGTCCGCTGGGTTCCCATCTGCAAGCTGCAGACGAGCCGCAAGTCCGTGTCATCGCCAGAAGAGCCCACAGCTCTGGACACGCTGCTCATCACGGTGCAGGTGTCGGCTGCCTTGCCAAGGGAACGGGCGGAGGGGGAGGCCGAGGGCTTCGTCCCAGCCGGCAGCGCAGGGGCTGCGCTGCTGCAGTCGTTTCCCCCGTGCGTTGGTCCAGCTCTTTTATTCCAGCTGCTCCTTTCGCTTCCTTTTTCAAGGCTGGCAGATACTGTTTGAGTGACGGGGGATGGCAGCGTGGGGCTGGATGCCTGACAAGGGGCTCCTTTGCGAGGCTGCCAGCGCTTCCTGCTCCCCGTTAGGCTGGAAAGGCCAAAGCAGAGCCCCGGCTATCGCAGGTTTGATCCTTGGCAGAGGACCCGCTGCTCTCAGCCAGCCTGCGGGAGCGCCGTCGCTTTGAGTGGGCGCTTGGAGCGCAGGATTCAGCCTCGTGGCACCAGATTGTGCCTGCTCTGCCACTGCCCCGTCACAGCACCCAGGATGAGGGCAAGGGAGAGAATCCTACTGCCAGGGGTTGCCTTCTACAGCAGTGTCCTCTCTCCTCAGGACAAACTGGCTTACCACCGGAGGAGCAGCCATGCCCTCTCCCCCGGCCTCTACCTGGGCTACTTGAAGCTCTGTAGCGCTGTGGATCAGATCCGAGTGCTGGTGCCAGAGCGGCTCCCCAACATCCTGTGCCACGTGAAGATACGCTCCAACCCCAACATTTCCAGGTGGGGCTTGCAGGGCCGGCTCGCTCAGGGCAGTTTTGTTTGGCAGCCAGGCTCCCGTGTCTAATCCAGCCTGAAAACACCTCTCGCAGCTGCCTGCTGCATCTTTTCTTGGGTTTCTGGAAGGAGCTTAACAGTCCCTTTCAGCCACCCTCCCTGCCATGCAGGGCACTCTAGAGCTGGACTGCACCAAGGTCCCTTGCTACAACTTCAGCTTCTGCTTCCCCAGGGATACTCCACAGTACGGGGGGAACAACTGAGCAAACCCAGCTTTCATAGTGCATATGTCTTCAGGGCTACCCCAAGGTGCTCCCTTCTGCATGTTTCTGTCTCTGTCCTTCTCCAGGGAGGAGTGGGAATGGCTGCAGAAGATGGTCAGCATGGACGAGCCTGTTCCCACAGAGCCAGAGGCTGACACATCCCAGAACCATTTGTTTCAGGAGCTCCAAGTAGCCATCAAGGAGCTGATGACCCTGCTCAACATCCCGTTGCAGGAGGTACGGGCAGGAGCTAGAGTCTGGGTGTTGAGAGAAAGGCAATGGCTGTGTAGCCTCACCCTTGCCACTGTGATAGGCAGGGCACCACAGTCCCCTGAAATGGAACAACTCCCTCTTTGGAGGTTTAAAGCATTGACTAGCTTTTGAGCCATGCAAATAGAAAGCAAGAGGTGTGTAGCAAGCATGTATGGGACAGATCCCTGAGAGGCATGGACAGTGTGTTCACGGGAGCTGTTTGTCTTACTCTCATCTGCACCTCTAGAGTATAAATGTTGAATTTGGGGTTGCATTGTGGCCTGCCAGCACCTTCATGTGTTCTGGTCACTGACTCAGCCCTTACAGGAGCAGACAAGCCTACCCTGGCCCCTTAGAAACAGGAGGGTTAGGAAGGAGTTACAGCCCACTGGGTCAGACTGCGTAGGAAAAAATTGCTTCTTCACCACACTGCAAAAAAACATAGGAAGGTTCCTACCAGCTCCAGTGACAGAGACACGTACTTCTAGCTGGATAACTTTGAAAGCATCTTTCTGAGTGGGGTTGAGATCAGCAGTGGTGGTTCTGGAGGGTCTTCCCTGAGACTCTGTTTAAGAGAAATAGACTTTGACCAGTAGTTCAGAAACTATTAGGAGAAATAGTTGGATTATCACAGAAGCAAGCAGTGACTCCCAGTTGAGAATGATCCCTGATGACTCCTCTATGGATGAGGACTCACCGGAGAGCCCTATCTCACCAGAAGCTGGCATGGTCAGAGTGGCTCCTCCATGCCTGGCAGCATGTAGACCTCATACAGAGAACAGCTGGATTTTGCACCAGTGACCTTTGCAGCTCTAACCTGTAGTGTTTTTTGGATGGACTCTTTCAGGCCAAAGATTTCCGTCTGTACAGCCAGGAAGTGCTGGATTTTGGGGGTCAGGTCTCCTTCCTCCTGCTGCTGCCTCCATCAGATGACGTCTGCACTGCTCCAGGCCAGAACAATCCCTATACCCCTCGTTCTGGCTTCCTCACACTGCCCCTGCAGATCTTTGAGCTAGGTAAGAAGAGGCTAGAAGAGAGCAATGCCTGCTTCCCATGTTGGGTGGGCAGCAAGAACCGGGACTCACGAGAATGGAGGCATCCATAGCAAGAGGCCTGCTATTTTTCTTTTGCCATCCTACCTTTTTTTTTCTTTTTGTTTTTTTTCAGTCCACTTCTTCACATACGACCGGGAGTTCATCACCCAGTACTGCCAGGTGTCTGCTCTCCTGGAACTGGAGTCGCTGCTGTCTCAGCAGAGCCTCAGGGAGGCCTTCTCTGATGCAGAGCTCACCACGGCAAAGCAGAGGCACCAGCAGATCCAGGACTACATCCAGGTACATAGAGGAGGGACATTGCCTTGCTACCGTGGTGCCCTAGGAGACATGGCCATTCTGTCTCATACCAGGAGTGCTCTGAGATAGAGATGCAAAAGGGCATGTCATGCTTCACCCTGCTTTCCAGCATTTGCAGGCAGGTCCTCCTGAAGGGGAGGGTTGCTCCCTCCTATTGAAGCTGTATCTTCCCAGCTGGGAGGAGTACTGTAGGATCTGCTGGCTCAGTGATTTCCCGTTGCTGCTTTCACCCCTTGGGAAGGTTGTGTGGTGGGAGCCTGTGTTTTGCTGTGCATATTTTATTATTTTTTCTTTGATTTTTAAAAGGGATCCTTTATTTCTTATTTTGGCAGCAAATGGAGGAGATCTGGCGCGAGATGCGCTGGATTATGGATGCCCTGCAACATGCCCGGTACAAGCAGCCCTCCTGCGGTGTGTCTCTCAGCGGGTTCCTCAGCGAATCTAGCAGTGCAATGAAAGAGAAAACACGATCCACCTCGTCCCACCTAGACTACCTTCCCTCACCAGCACCTTCACCGGAGACCAGCCGTAAGCACAACTCTGGTAAGGAGGCCTAGGCTTTAGCTCTGGTCTCTGAACCAAAGCCTTTTTTGAGAGGGTTGTAAGACTGTGAAGATGCTGTTGGCTTTTGGGCCAGGTGTGTCCCTTACGGTCACCCACATGGCACTGGCAGGATGAGGGTGTAGTGTCACAGTTGGCACAGGGCCCTTGCAGAGTTTTTAACAGTACCGAGGATTGAAAACCTGGCGTGTTTTTTTTCTCCACTCAGCTGGTAGGAGTCCAAACAGTGCCTTGCACCAGCCATGCAGAGCCAAAGATAAAGGCCTGTGTCTCCTGGTTGCCCAGGGGGTGCTGCCTAGCATGACCATTGCATGCTAGGAGTTGCATGTACAGGAGTCCAGAAGAGCCAGAAAGCTCTGTGGGTCAAGCTGAGGGCCTGAGGCTAGAGGGCTCAGCCAGGAAACACCTTTTCCCAAGCACTCTCGAGTTGCACAAGCAGATCTTCTCCCACCTTGCAGTTGAAGGAGAAACCATCTGGGAGCTGGAGACTTCTTTTAGGTCCCAGGCTAAATTTCTGCAGAATTGCTTTCAGGTAAGAGCATGAGTTTGGAAGCAGTGGGTGTGTTGTGCTGTCATGGTCGTGGATGCCTTTGGCCATGACCTTCCGAGGCAGCCTCTGAGTAGCGCTGTGTGTGCAGATTTACAGAGGGGCATAATGTCCCTGGGGTCTTCCTGGACTCAGAACCACACTCAGACCATCAGCAGTGGTTGCCAATAGCAAGGTGTTAAGTCCCTGCTTTCTTCTCTTATGTTCCTTACAGAGTTGCATGGCTTGTCAGATGAGGAGGGCTCCTCGGAGGTGTTCCTGGCCACAGACAGTGACTATGATTCCAGCAGGGCCCAAAGCCCTAAGGAGCTAGATTTGGTTTACTCCTCCTCGGGGTCCGAATGCTGCAGCAGAAGACTTGCCCGCACGCTCAGGGACAGCGCTCCTGATGTCCTGCAGAGCCACGAACTCAAGACCCCGCCGCTGCCTCCGGAGGAGCCGCGGCCACCCCACGAACTCTACCGC